GTCATATTTCAGGCGCTAATTCGTTGGTTCTGAGTGGAATCGACCCGGGCACGCACTTCTGGGAGCTCCAACTTAGAACTTGGAATGAGACGCTTAAACCTGTTGCAGAGGTGATGCTGCATGTGGAAGTAGTGGTGGATCCTTCGGACGAGAACTCACCATGGAGATATAAGTTGCGAGAGGATGAAAAGAAGCCGGAAGTGTTAGTCAATCCAACTATTGCAGACGAGTGTGGATTAAGTAGACGTGAGGTGCTGCCAGTGTGTTACGTGTCGTCGACGTCACGTGCGTTTGATGGTCAAAAACGAATGTGGCTGCAGGTCATGGAGGGACTTAGCAGTGGTGGACCCGGTCGAGGCACAGTTGACTTTCGGTTCGAGGTGAAAAGTTTTGAGAGAGTTGAGGCAGATGCTCCGTTTGTTCACGCTCTTCGTCGATTAAACGTGAGTGTTCACGGTCTTCCTTTAGAGGTGAGTTTGAACTGGTAATATAGCAAATCCACACCGTGCTAACCGTGTGTCGTGCTTGTAGATTGCTCGAAATGATCTCTCGGACGAAGAAGCTACTCCCGATGGAGCCATTGAGGCACTACTCAACAGCTTCTACCGTCAATTTCCACTGACACGCCACGATTCTCGAAAACTTTCGACGTTGGATCAACCAGCTCTACTTCAACTTCGTCCGCCATTCGCTGCTAGAGTCTGGAACGACCTGACGGACTCGTTGTCCTCCTGCGCTGGTGGCCTCATCATATTCTCCAACTCGCGCAGTCTCTCGGATAAACTGCTCGTTCTGGCATCTCGACTCACTGGACCTCGAGCCATTGTGATGGAACTCGCGAATCTTCATCCAACTCGCGTTGACGTGGATATTCTCCTGGCACCCTCACACTTCGCGAAGGAACACTACTCCGTAGTGACAAACGTTCGTGCTCGCAACACGTTTGTATTATCTACTGGTGTAGATACCCAACGATTTACACCTGCCACTTTGATCTCACCAGGCGAGCATTTTGTCATCGGCTACGTTGGACGACTCTCATCGGAGAAATCACTTGGAATTCTCTTAGCAGCTATGAAGATCCTTGCGCCGATCTGTTCGCATTGCAGACTAAGGGTGGTTGGTGACGGTCCACAAAAGTCTCAACTTCAAGAACTTGCCGCGGAGTGGGGGTTACTTGGAACTAGTGTCGACTTTGTGGATGGAATCTATAACGACGAGCCAGAGCTGGTTCGAGAGTTTCGTGAGATGCACGTGTTTGCAAGCCCCATGTTCACCGAGACGCTAGGCCTCGCTGTTCTAGAAGCTATGAGTGTGGGTGTACCTGTTGTCGGCTTTATCTCTGCTGGAACGGGTGAGTTTCTTGAGGATGGCTTGAACTGTGTTGCTGTAATGAAAGCGACGGCCGAGAAGTTTGCTGGTGCTCTTCTTCAGTTTATCCATGACAAGGAACGCAGGCTTCGGATTGGTAGACAAGCCCGACGTACTGTGGTGGAACTCTTTTCAACCCACAGAGCACTCGAAAAATACGGAAGGCTTTACGAACGCGCTGGGCGGACGATAAATTTTTCCGGTAGATACAAATGCCACCGTGAAGAGGAGACATTTGGAGGTTTAGCGGGTGAGAATGTGGAGAAAACAAAGGGCCAAAGTTGACATGTTGGAAATGAGAGAATGCTTACATGTTCGCTTGGAGCCGTCCTCAGGTCAGACCGATCTTTTATTACGTGTTCAGTAAACCGATCTTTACCGGGACGGACGGATAGCGCGGTTGAATTAGTCCGTGATATCCAGCATTTCGTCGCTTTTTTAAACCAGAATTATTTGATTAATGCTTACTGTTTCCGAAGAGCTACACAAAAAGAATACTCTAATACAGTACTACTTAAGTATTCGTCTTAATGAAGCTTAGTATTTTTCAAGTATGCAGGAGCAAAATGCTGGTATGGATTTCACATGTCAGGACAGTTAAAAGGGAGTGTTCTAGCTGGACTCAAAGTGCTATGAAATAAACCTGGTGGGGGCGGGTATCCGACAACGTAATTGAGTAGATGCCGGTACAATATCTAAACTTGTTTTGAGTGTTGTCACGGGCGGGGTGGGTGCTCGACGAGGGCCAAATGCGATCTATACTGATAGCACATCTTTCATTGCCCTTCACTTACTATACACACTGTAAATCGTTTTGCAGAAATGTGACTCAATACTGTTTCATGCAATAACGCGGTTTTAAAGTAAACATGAACAACGTAAGCTACAGTATAGCACAAAGTTGTACTTGATTGCACATGCGTTATACTTTTGGTGCTATAGATCCACCATGCCGTATTCAATGATGTTAGAGCACACTCCATTCCAACATACTCGCTACGGCTCCGATATGTCGATGGGGGCGCCAGTGTCGGTGCTTCCCTCGCATTTCGCAATATTCATGAAGCATTTGTTCGCATACTCGACGCCGTTCTCGTCGGTCACAGGGTTGTAGATT